TCCTAAAGACCTAGGTTGGAGGGGCCGGTGCTGTAGAGCAGCAGGTTAAAGCCCCACCTGCAGTGCCCACATCCCATATGGGCGCCGGTTTTAGTCCCGGCTGCTCCACTTCCTATCCAGCTCTCTGCTATGACCTGGGAAAGCAATAAAAGATGGCCTAAGTTGTTGGGCCCCTGCACCCGCGTGGGTGACCCGGAAGAAGCTCCTGGCTTCAGATCGGCTCAGCTCCGGCCATTGTGGCCTTCTGGGGAGTGAACCAGCAGATGAAAGACCTCTCTCTCTGTCTCTACCTCTGTCCGTAATTCTGTCTTTCACATAAATAAAATAAATCTTTAAAAAACAAAGACCTAGGTTAGAAGGTACTGCATCCGGGGCGCCCGATCCTCCACGCCCCCCGGCCGGCCGCGCGCACCTGGATCTCCTGGATCAGCTGCTCCGCCCGCAGCAGCTTGGCCTTCAGCTCCTGGATCTCCTGCTCCATGGGCAGCACGATCTCCCGCAGCTTCTCCGAGTCCTCGTGGGCCTGCGGGGGGTGCGTGGGCGGTGACGTCCCCTCCCCCGCCCCTCCCTTCCCAGGAGGTGCTGTCCACCCATCTCAGAGCTAAGACACAGACGCCCCGAGGGCCGACGGCATGGGCCCCAGTGCATCAGGGAAACCGGCCAAGGTCACAGCTGTCTCCCTGTCGCCCACTTACTCACCAGAACTTTCTTCTCCAACATCCGGATTTTCTTTTGTCATAGAACCTCAGAGTTTTAGCTGGGCACGTGGCCTACATTCTAGAACGCCACCTACACTTCTCAGCCTCCCTGCAGCTAAACACCATGGCATGACTAAGTTCCAGCTAGCTAGGTGTAACCAGATGGAAGAGGGTGTGCCTTTCTTTACTCTTCCTCCTTCTTGCTGGCTGGAATGTGGACATGATGGCTGGCACTCAAGCAGTCATCTTGGACCATGAGGCAATCTGCTACCTATGGCAAAACAGCAACACAGGAGCCTGGGTTCCTCCTGACTTACTGAGCTGCTACACCTGTCCTCCCGGACTGTGCCTGCCTCTGGACTTTCTGGAAAAGCAACTTCTGTCTTATTGAAGCCATTGCTGATTTCTGCATTTCCGTCACATCAGCCAAACGTCAGCCTGGCAGCTCTGTCCGCCCGTGCCCTTCCCATCTGTCTCTGAGCTTGGGGTCCTGCTGACCTTGCACGGCCAGCAGCCTCTGGACGTCTGCACTTGGACGTCACACAGGCTCCTCCAACCTAGCATGGCCAAAACCGCGTCAGCGCCCGGCCCCGGCTCCTCCCGCCACAAGCGCGTGGTCAGCACGGGCGGCCCTGCCAGCCGCCCAGTTGTTCATGGCTGACACCTGCCAGTCACCGCTGCCTGGCGCCGCCTTCTTCCCACTCAACGCCGAGGCTGTCACCGGAGTCATCTAAAACCTTCTCCAGGGAGCTCAGCCAACCCCACCCACCCGCCAGGAGCAGTCCCAGCAGGCACAGCGGGCCGGCCTGGCCCCAGCAAAACGCCGCCCGGCCGAAGACCTGGCGCGTGGACTCCACGGAGGCACACAGGGGCCGGCCTGTGGATCCCTGGGGTGCTGGCGGGGTGGGGGTGCGGGGGCTTTCACTGAGCACGGCCTCCCGGGCCCTCTGTGCGCAGGAAGCAGCCTCCGCTGGGCCGCTGGGGGCTGGACGCCCTCCTGCTCTGGGCTCCTGCTTTGGGCTCTGCCTCTCTCACCCCGCAGTTCCCTCTGTCTCCCCGAGCCTCGGCGACCTGCTGCGGGCAGTGGGCTCTTAGCGGCGACCCTGCCTCCTGGGGGGCGTGGGGGCGTGGGGGCGTGGGAACGTGCTTCCTGTGAACCATCAGTGGTGGCGACCGGAACACAGGCGGACAAACAGAACGCGGAGAACCGGGCTGCTCCGGGCCTCACTGTGCTCATCTGCTAAATGAGTCTAGGGGGCTTCCTGCGCGGGTCTGCAGGCGCCCCGCACAGCGCTGAGTGCATGAGAGGTTTCCTGCCGTGAGCTCCTGTCCCTGCACGTGGGCGACCTCACTCTGGATGTGAACCTGCAAGGCCCCCCCACCCCCAGGACCCTGCCTGACCCTGGGCCCACGGACCGGGCAGCCGGCCGCCAGCCCCCCGCGCGCCGTCTCTGCCGAGGCCAACCTTCTCCATCTGCTGCTCCAGGGAGTCCAGCGGGTGCGTCCGCGACAGCAGCTGCCTCAGGCGGCCCAGCTCCCGCTCCTTCTCCTCTGAGTCCTGCTGCTGCTGCCGCCACTCCTGCTTCAGGGACGCGATCTGGGCCTCGTAGCTGCTGATGGAGTCTGCCGGGGCAGAGGAGGCAGCAATCGCTGAGGGACGCCGGCCGAGGAGGGGGCGGAGGGGGGGGTGCTGGGTGTGGCCGGCAGCTGGGGGCTGGGTTAACCCTCTCCAGGGCCTGGCGGAGTGGCGGGGATCCCTGGCGTTCCGGCTGAAACAGATCTGGATCCGCAGAGACGGTGCCCTGGGCCACCGAGCTGGGGCAGGTGCGGGTCCAGGGGACGCGCGCACTTGGTGACAGAAGCCGCAGGCACAGGGTGGGCGCAGCAGCCGGGTGAGGTGAGCGCTGGTTGGGAGGCCTGTGTGCCAGGCTGCAGTGGGGCTGAGTCCCAGCGCGCTGAACTCCGGGTCCAGCTTCCTGCCAGCGCACCCTGGGAGGCGGCGGCGGAGGACCTAAGCACCTGGCTTCCTGCTGCCCGTGTGGGAGCCCTGGATGGAGCTCCGGGCTCCTGCCTTTGGCCTGGCCCAGCCCTGGCAGTCACGGGCACCTGGGGAGTGAACCAGTGGATGGACACGTGGTCTCTCTCCCTCTCTTTCTGTCACTCTTTGCCTTTTAAATAAAAAAATAAACAGGCCGGCGCCGCGGCTCACTAGGCTAATCCTCCACTTGCAGCGCTGGCACCCGGGGTTCTAGTCCCAGTTGGGGTGTCAGTTCTGTCCCGGTTGCCCCTCTTCCAGGCCAGCTCTCTGCTGTGGCCAGGGAATGCAGTGGAGGATGGCCCAAGTGCTTGGGCCCTGCACCCTCATGGGAGACCAGGAGGAAGCACCTGGCTCCTGGCTTCAGATTGGTGCAGCGCTGGCCGTAGCGGCCATTTTGGGGGTGAACCAACGGAAGGAAGACCTTCCTCTCTCTCTCTCTCTCTCTCTCTAACTCTGCCTGTCAAAAAAAAAAAAAAAGATTTATTTATTTAAAGAGTTACACAGAGAGGAGAGGCAGAGAGAGAGAGGGAGAGGGTGAGGGAGAGGGAGAGAGAGAGAGGTCTTCCACCCTCTGGTTCACTCCCCAGATGGCCACAATGGCTGGAGCTGCTCTGGTCTGAAGCCAGGAGCCAGGAGCTTCTTCCAGGTCCCCCACGTGGGTGCAGGGGCCCAAGCACTTGGGCCATCTTCCACTGCTTTCCCAGGCCATAGCAGAGAGCTGGATCAGAAGAGGAGCAGGCAGGACTCGAACCGGCGCCCATATGGGATGCCCGCACGGCAAGCGGTGGCTTTACCCGCTACCCCACAGCGCCGGGCCTATCTATTGTTATTAATACGTTCCACTAGGGGTGGGCGTCTGGCTCACAGATGTCTGTCCCCAGGATCAGAGCACCCAGGTTTGATACATGACTCTGCTCCTGATTCCAGCTCCCTGCTAACACGACCCCTGGGAAACAACAAGTGATGGCCAATTGCTTGGGTCCCTGCCACCCACGTGGGAGACCTGGACTGTGACGCTGGCTCCTGTCTGCCTCCCTCTCTCATGTGTACACGGTTCATCTTAATGGTAGCCGTAAAGGTTCAGCCGCCAGACTGCCTGCCTTCACATCTTCTGCTGTGTGACCCCGGACTGGGCCTCAGCTTCCTCTGTACGTGGACACGGCTAAGAGTTCCTGCCTCGTAGTTGGTTGTGAACAATACACGCAAAACAGCTCAGAGCCTGGCAAACAACGCTCGACAACAAACTAGCTGCTGGGGCCGGCGCTGTGCGTAGCGGGTAAAGCCACCACCTGCAGCGCCAGCATCCCATATGGGCGCCAGTTCGAGTCCCGGCTGCTCCTCTTTCGATCCAGCTCTCTGCTGTGGCCTGGGAAAGCAGTGGAAGATGGTCCAAGTGCTTGGGCCCCTGTACCCGCATGGGAAACCAGAAGAAGCTCCTGGCTCCAGCCATTGCGGCCATCTAGGGAGTGAACCAGCAGATGGAAGACCTCTCTCTCTGTTTCTACCTCTCTCTGTAACTGTCTTTCAAATATATTAAATCTTTAAAAAAAAATTCCATAACCGACACAAGTCGCATAAGGATGCAACCGTGCTGCTCAGGGGTGCCTGAAATGTGGGAAACACAGCCCCGGAGGTGGAGACGGCTGGAGGGGGGGGTGGTCCAGAGAGGGAGCTGGCCAGGGTGGGAGGCGGGGCTCAGCGGGTGAAGCTGTTGCCCCTTGTAGCCGCGTCCCACACCGGAGCACTGGCTCAGGTCCCAGCTGCTCCGCTCTTCTTCCAACCCAGCTTCCTGCTGACAGAGGTGCTCGGGCCACGCGGGGAACTGGATGGATGCAGTGCCGGGCTCCTGGCTTCCGTGTGGCCCAGCCCTGGCTGCTAACCAAGAGATTGTGGGCTCACTCGCTCTCTCGCTCTCTCTCCCCCTCTCCCTCTCTTGCTCTGCCTTTCAAATAAGGACACTGAAACGGAAAAGAGAAAGAACTGGCATTGTGGGGTGGGAGTCGGAGACGAATGTTTTCTGGAGGCCAGTGGTCCAGGAGGGAGGTGCCACGGGCCCCAGGGCCGCGGCGGGGCGGGGCAGTGGGAGCAGAGAGGTGCCCCCGTCACTGACATCTGTTTCAGACTCGGGCCTCGGCTGGGGAGGGGGAGGAGCTAAGCAGAAAAGCAGCAGGGAGGTCCTGGGCCCCCAAGCTGTGCTTCCCCTGCCCGGAGTCACATCCTGCGAGGGAGGAGGGGACCTGAGGGGGGGGGGGGCAGGCAGGGCCCAGGCCCAAAAGCAGGGCGGTTTGGGGAACTGAGAAGTTTCTTGCCCAGGTTCAGGGTTGATCAGCCATCAGTGAGGGACGAGAAATGACACAGCGAGGGGGTCGGGAGAGCTAAACTTAGCTGTGACCCGAGGGCTGCGCTCTAGGCAAATTCAACGAGGGGGCGCTTGCCTCGTTGCGTCGCTGCAGCCTTGCCGCCCTCGCCCCCCAGCCCTGGCCCCTCGTCTAGCACGGCCCGCCCCGGGCATGCGCCTCTCACCTTTCAGGATGGCCTGCAGCGAAGCCACCTCCTCCTGGCACTGCCGCTGCACCGCAGCCACGGCCTCGGCCTTCGTGCTCTCACTCACCTCCGCCACGGCCTTCATGGTCTCCATTTCGGCCAGGGCGCCGGCCAGCTCAGCCCGAAGCCGGCCCAGCTCACCGGCCTCGACCTCAGCCTGCGGTCCCGTCTGGGTTTGGGGGTCCAGCGCTGTGGAGGACAGGGATCAGACTCTCGTCCCATCACTGCCCGGATCCCCAACACTCCAGGACACCCGGCAAAACAGCACCGCAACCGACTCTTGCAGCCCCACCTTCACCTGGCCCCGCCCCCACCTGGCCACGCCCCCAGCAGGGCACCTGGCCACGCCCCCCAGCAGGGCACCTGGCCGGACCTCGCGCTGCCTACAGCCCGCCTCTTCCCAGAGTCTCGGTTCCCGCCAATCCCCCGGAGGCTCGGACGCGACCCCCCCTCCCCTCCGCGGCAGCGACCCCGCCCCTTCCCCTACCGGGTCCCACCGCTGGCCCCCTTCGGGGCGGTCAGACCACGCCCCCTTCGCCGGTAGCCCCAAGGCCCCGCCCCCTCTCCCGCCAGCGTGCCCCGCCCCTCTCCCGGCTCCCTTCTCCACCCCCCACCCGCCGGCCGAGCTGGGCCCCGCCTCCGGCTCCACCGCCCCCCGCGTGCACGGACGCGCCCTCACGTACCAGCCCCCGGCCGCCTCTGTCGCCCGTCCGCGCCCGCAGTCGCCGGCGCAGCTGCTGCCATCGCCTCGGCGCAAACGGCGGATTCCCGCACTCCCTGGTGACGGAGCTCGCCGCTTCCGGGTCCGCTCGGCTGTTTCCGGATCCGCTCGGCTATTTCCGGACCGGCCCGGGATCGAGGTCCTGGCGGGCGGCCGAGGGAAGTGCCGAGCGTCGGCCGAAGATTCCCGAGTGCACGCCCGAGCCCCGCCTCCCTCCTTCTTCGCTGGGGCGCGACGTCTGCCCCTCAGACCCCCGAGTTCTTCCGGCTGAGGGGGTCGCTGGCGTCCAGCGGTGACCTCAGCAGTTCTGCTCCGTCACGCCTGCTCAGGGCCGCCGGCCAAAGCGCCCTCTGCGGCCCTCCCCGCGCCACCTCAGGTCGGCCCCTGGCCGCCCTCCCGCCGCAGCCCCGGCTCAGGTTACAGCGAGCTGGGGCCGGGCTCTCGCCGATTGTCCCTTGGGCCGGGGCTGGATCCACTTCGCTTCTCTGGGCGCCAGAGTGTCCACGTAGCCGGTCGTAAAAGTCTCAGACTTCCACGAGCCCACCCCCACTTGGTATTCCACCAGTCGCGGCTTCCTGCAAATCCCCCAACCCCTCCCAGTGCCTCTCAAATCCCTCCTCCGCCGGCCTCTGTCCTGGGTCACGATTGCCTTATCCCGGCTCGGCAGCAGGAATTCAAACGGAGCTTTGACAGCCCTTCCCCCAAACCTGTCCTGGGAGTTCCTGCGTCTTGGCCTCCTGCTGCAAGCCCTGGTAACTCGACCTCCAGTGCACCGAATATTCCAGAAGGTGTTCCTTTCCCTCCATTTCCAGTACTGACCCCTAGTCTCTGGCCCCATCATCTCCGTCCTGCTTAGTAACCATCCTCCACCACACACACACATTACAAAGGCCCCTTTAGTTAGTTCTGCAGAACGCAGTTGGAATCACCTCTGTGAAACATGTGAAGTGGGGGCCGACGCTGTGGCGTAGCGGGTGAAGACGCCGCCTACAGTGCCTGCATCCCATATGGACGCCGGTTCGAGTCCTGGCTGCTCCACTTCCGATCCAGCTCTCTGCTGTGGCCTGGGAAAGCAGTAGAAGATGGCCCAAGCCCTTGGGCCCCTGCACCCATGTGGGAGACCCTGAAGAAGCTCTTGGCTCCTGGCTTCAGATTGGCACAGCTCCGGCTATTGAGGTCATCTGGGGAGTGAACCAGCGAATGGAAGACCTCTCTCTCTCTCTCTGCCTCTCTGTAACTCTGCCTTTCAAATAAATAATTCTTTAAAAAAAAAAAATGCTTGTGCCTGCTTAAAAACCTAGTTGGCCACTTTGAAACTGGTTAGACTTTTCACCGTGTCACAGGCAGCAAATTCAGCCATGAACAGATGTTCAACATCATTAGCCATTAGGGAAGTAGAAATCAAAGGCAGCAGGAGACAGGGTCATGGACATCTTAACAGTGGCTAAACAGAGTAACAACGCCAAATGCCGCTGAGTGTGCAAAGGAACCGGGTTTTTCTGTACTGCTGCCAGCAAAGTGACTGGTGCTGGACCCAGGCCAATGCCAGGAGCCTAGAACCCAACCTGGCTCATCTATGCAACTCTCATTGGCTGCCACCCAGGCTGCACAGAAGCAGGGAGCTGGAACTGGGGGCGGAGCTGGGACTTGAACCCAAACACTGACGGACAATGCTGGCAGCCCAGGTGGTGTCTTTTTTTTTTTTACTTTTCTGGTTGGAAGATCTTATTGAGAGGTAGAGTTGCCAACAGAGAGAGGGATGCAGAGAAATCTTCCATCTGCTGTTTAACTCTCCCCAAATGGCCACAACAGCCGGAGCTGAGCTGATCTGAAGCCAGGAGCCAGGAGCTTCTTCCAGGTCTCCCATGCAGGAGCAGGGTCCCAAGCACCTGGGCCATCTTCTACTGCTTTCCCAGGCCATAGCAGAGAGCTGGATCAGAAGAGGAGCAGCCAGGACTTGAACCGGCAGCCATATGGGATGCCGGCGCTGCAGGCAGTAGCTGTACCCATCACGTCACAGCGCCGGCCACTTAGGTGGTGCCTTGACCGCTGTGCCAAACACCTGCCCTTTTCCTTCCTTTGTTCAACTTCCTGAGCGTCTGTAGATGCCCGTGTCGATCCGGGGACGGAGAAGATCCCCGTTCTCCAAGAAAGGGCATCTAGTGCAGGAGGCGGTCAGAACACTAATAAGTAAGCCAAAGTTGAGATTTGGGGAAAGTGCCGAGAGGAAATCCAACAAGAACCTGAGAACAAAAAAGTTCGTGGAGAGGGGTCAGAGCAGGCCTCTCTACGGAAGTAACATTTGCGATTAGGAGAAACCAGAGGGATGGAGGGAGTGGATGAATCATGCCAAGGGCAGCAAGTGCAAAGGCCCTGGGGCTGGGACCGTGGGTGGCAAGTTGGAGCGTGGGTGGAGGAGGACAGTGGCGGCGGGGGGGTGAGTGGCCGACGTAGGTGGGCCTTGGTTTGGAGTTTTCCTTTCAGGTGGGTGGGAAGCCACGGAAGTGTTTTCAGTGGGGGACTGACACACTCTAGCAAGAGCTGAGCTGGAGAGAGATTTTGTTGGGGTCTGGTTGCCGTCATCATTTCTCCAGTGCCTCGCTCTTTCCCCTCCGGTCAGCCCGAGGGAAGTGGGGCCCTGCCACCTGTAGGGTCCCCTGGGGTTTGCTTAGCACAAACAGGAAGCCGCAGGGCAGTGACACAGGCAGGCCTGGGAATCCGCAACTGAGAAGACAGGTCTCCTGGGTCCCGGGATCCTTTCCCTGAGAGAGATGGGAGGGGTGGGACAGGAAGTATGGGGCAGTCTGGCGTCGGGGGCCTCCTGGGCCCTGCTGCTCGCAGCGCCAACAGCTCTGTGTGTGACTTCAGGGAACGCCCTGCCCTGCTTGGGGCCTCCATTTCCCTATTAAAAAAAAAAAAAAAGGCTTATTTATTTATTTATTTGAAAGGCAGCGTTACAGGGAGAGAGAGGGGGAGACAGAGAGCCATCTTCCATCTGCTGGTTCACGCCCAGGTAGCCACAGTGGACAGCGCTGGACCAGGCTGAAGCCAGGAGCCAGGAGCTTCCTCCAGGTCCCCTACACAGGTGCAGGAGCCCGAACACTTGGGTCATCTTCCGCTGCTTTCCCAGGTGCCATAGCAGAGAGCTGGATCGGAAGTGGAGCAGCCGGGACTCGAACTGGCGCCCCTCTGGGATGCGGGTGCCGCAGGTGCTGGCCTTACCTGCTGCACACAGCACCAGCCCATTTCCCCGTTTCTAAAAAGGCTCCTTCCAGAACTGCAGCAGGGGCTTTCTGGGGGCAGAGCTGCTGAGTCAGTGACTTCTCAGGAAGAGCCACTGTGGCCCCAGCCTCGCAGCCGCCCAGCCCCCTGCTCCCCCTGCTAGCTTTCTCTGTGTTACTGGATTTATCATCGGGACAATCTGCCGAGAAAGTCGCACTTCCAATTTACAAAGAAGGAGACTTACCCATGGTTTTGAAGCTGGGCAGTCTGGCTTGAGCTCCTCCGTATGAACTGATTAACTGAGGGCCTACTGTGTGCTGGCTGCTGGGCTAAAGATGTCACACAAGGGCCGGCGCCACGGGTCACTAGGCTAATCCTCTACCTAGTGGTGCCAGCACACCGGGTTCTAGTCCCGGTCGGGGTGCCGGATTCTGTCCCGGTTGCCCCTCTTCCAGGCCAGCCCTCTGCTGTGGCCAGGGAGTGCAGTGGAGGATGGCCCAAGTGCTTGGGCCCTGCACCCCATGGGAGACCAGGAGAAGCACCTGGCTCCTGCCTTCGGATCAGCGCGGTGTGCTGGCCACAGTGTGCCAGCTGTGGTGGCCATTGGAGGGTGAACCAATGGCAAAAGGAAGACCTTTCTCTGTCTCTCTCTCTCACTATCCACTCTGCCTGTCCAAAAAAAAAAAAAAAAAAAAACAACACAAAAACGATGTCCAACAAGTATTGTCCTCTTTCATCTTTATAAACAATATTTTAAAAATCTTAAAAATCACTTTCATTTTATTTGAAAAGTAGAGAGACAGACAGAGAGATCTTCCATCTGCTGGTTCACGACCCAAATGCCCACAACAGCTGGGGCTGGGACAGATGGAATTCAGGAGCCCAGAACTCAAATCTGGATCTCCCATGTGGCTGGCAGGGACCCAATTTCTTGAGCCACCCCTGCTGTCTCCCAGAATGCACATTAGCAGGAAGCTGGAACAAGAAACAGAGCTGGGATTCAAACCCAAGCACTCCAATATGAATATGGGCATCCCAAGGGATTACCCAGCCACTGTCCCAAATGGCTGCCTCCAAATAACATTACTTATAGTCCTGTCATTCTCCCCAGTGGACAGAAGAAGAAACTCAGGCTTTGCGTGCTGAAGGAAGTTAGCTACAAGTAGAGGTGGAGGATTTGAACTCAGGTCTGCCGCAGGTGGTCATGGGGTAGGGGTGGGGGGTGGAAAGAGGTCCAAGAAATGTTTGTTGAATGAAAGAATGAGGTGTAGGTGTGAAGGGAGCCTGGGGTTGGGAGGGGGGAACAGGAGGAAGCCCCTGAAGCGGAATCCACTCATTCAACCCAGAGTTCGCCGTCACCACCTTTGTGCCAATCACCGTCCTGGGACCGTGTGCACAGGGAGGGGAACGAGACTCTGCCTCTGCTCCCAAGGGGCTCACACACTAGTGGAGAAAACAGAAGTGAGCCCCTCCACACACGCAGAGACACACACACACACACACAGACACACACACAGAGAGACACACACAATCAGTTCTTGTGGAGCTAAGTGTGGGGCGAAAACAAGACAGCACACGGGGAGGAAGCAAGCTGTGTGGGTCTGGAGGGGGCCTGGAGAAAGCAGCCCGAGGCGTGACCACCCCTTCCTCTCTGAGGGGACTGCCTGCTCGCCCCCACAGGCGTCCATGGTTCAGTGCCCAGCAGGCCCCTGCCTGCCCCAGCATCCCCTGCGCGGGGAAGCTGGGCGGCCCGGGGAGTCTGGCCACCATGCCACCTCCTCTCCTGCTCGCCTTCCTCCTCTTCCTGACCCTGGGGAGAGTCAGGCCCCAGAAACTACTGCAGGTGGAGATGGAAGGTAGGTCCAAAGAGGCAGAGAGGGAGGGAGTCGGGGTTGGAAGCCTGGGTTTGGGCTGGGTGCCCTCCACAGCGTGGCTCACCCTCTCTGAGCCTTTCTAGCTTGTGACCCAGCAGGTGCTGGGGCAGTGACGGGAAGGGGCTGGGACTCTCCCTCCCTCTCTGCCCACAGAGGGAAGTGATGCTGTGTTGCCGTGCCTCCAGGACCCCCCGGATGGTCCCCCTGAGCGGCTGATCTGGTCTCGGGACTCCCAAGGGCCTTTCCTGGAGCTGAGCCCCGGGTCCCCAGGCCTGGGCATCCATGTGGGGCGTCTTGGCATCTTGCTGCTCATCTTCAACGTCTCTAATGAGATGGGGGGCTTCTACCTGTGCCAGCCAGCGCCCCCCTCCCAGCAGGCCTGGCAGCCTGGTTGGACGGTCAGCGTGGAGGGCAGCGGTGAGGGCTGGGCCGGCCTGGGGTCAGGGAGGGGGGAAGTTGCTGGATGGGAAGTGGAGAGCCCAGTGT